CGTGGCTGGTTCAGACGTACGAGCCGGTTCAAGATGGATCTGTACTTTATATGGGCAACGAGTCAACCGCTCCTATCCTAGGTCGTGGAAAAGTGGTGTTAAAGTTTAGTTCCGGGAAAACTCTTGATCTTAATGATGTAATTCATGTACCCGGAATTAGGAAAAACTTAGTCTCCGGTAGTGTTTTAAATAAGTGTGGATTTAAACAAGTGTATGAGTCAGATAAGTATGTCTTATCTAAGTGTGGTATCTTTGTTGGATTTGGATACTTTTGTAATGGCATGTTTATGCTTAATATTAATAAAGTTGTCAATTCTATTTACATGGCATGTTCTAGCAAAAATGATACTTCTTTATGGCATGCAAGATTAGGCCACGTGCATTATAAAAGAATGATTGATATGTCTAAAGAAGGATTAATTCCTACTTTTGACGTGAATATAGAGAAGTGTAGAACATGCATGTTGACTAAGATAATTAGACAACCTTTTAAAAGCATTGAAAGAAATTCAAAGGTGCTTGAACTTATTCATAGTGACTTATGTGACTTACATGCTACACCATCTTTAGGAAACAAGAAATATTTCATCACGTTCATAGATGATTATTCTCGTTTTTGTTATGTATATTTATTACATGCTAAAGATGAGGCCTTAGATAAATTCAAGGTTTATAAAACCGAGGTTGAATTACAACATAGTGACTTGGTTAAGAAGTTACGCACGGATAAAGGTGGGGAGTATTATGATCCTACGTATTTTCAGTCTGTGGGCATAATACATGAGACTACGGCTCCGTATACGCCACAACAAAATGGTATATCCGAGAGGAAAAATAGAGTTCTAAAAGAAATGGTTAATTCCATGTTATCTTACTCGGGATTAAGTGACGGATTTTGGGGTGAAGCCATGTTAACGGCTTGTTATTTATTAAATAGAGTTCCCAACAAAAGGAACAAAGTTACTCCATATGAACTTTGGTATAAAAAGAAACCAAACTTGAACTATCTTCGAGTTTGGGGCTGTAGGGCGATCGTTAGATTACCCCAACCAAAGATTAAGACTTTGGGAGAAAGAGGTATTGATTGCATCTTCATTGGTTATGCCTTGCATTCCAAGGCATATAGGTTTTATGTCATAGAACCTAATGATTCTATAGCGGTTCACACCGTAATTGAGTCAAGAGATGCAATATTTGATGAGAATCGTTTTTCATCGATACCTAGACCAAAGGATTTAGTTCCTAGTTCAAGTGGAACAAAGAAAAGAGACGACATGTTCGTTCCTCCTAACGAGTCACCTACGCTTCGTAAGAGTAAACGAGGGAGAATCGAAAAATCTTTCGGTCCCGATTTTCAACTTTACTTAGTTGAAGGGTCAAGAGATGAGATTGGTTTTCAATACTCATATTGTTATCATATTGATGATGAACCTAGAACTTTTAGTGAGGCTATGACGTCTAATGACGTTATTTTTTGGAAAGAAGCCGTAAATGATGAAATGGATTCCATCATGGGAAATAATACGTGGTTCTTAACGGATCTTCCACCCGGTTGCAAGCCTTTAGGATGCAAATGGATCTTCAAGAAGAAGATGAAAGTCGATGGAACGATCGACAAATTTAAGGCTCGGTTGGTTGTTCAAGGTTTTAGACAAAAGGAAGGCATTGATTATTTTGATACATATGCTCCGGTTGTTAGGATCTCCTCTATAAGGTTATTAATTGGTTTGGCATCCATTCATAACCTTGTGATCCACCAAATGGATGTCAAGACGGCATTCTTAAATGGCGTCTTGGAAGAAGAGGTGTATATGAAACAACCCGAAGGGTTTGTTATGCTTGGTAATGAACATAAGGTGTGTAAGTTGGTAAAGTCATTATATGGTCTAAAGCAAGCACCTAAACAGTGGCATCAAAGGTTTGATGAGGCTGTCTTGTCAAATGGGTTTAAATTAAATCAGTCGGACAAGTGTTTGTATAGCAAATTTGATGATTCCGGTAATGGAGTGATCATTTGTTTATATGTTGATGACATGTTGATCTTTGGTACCAACCTTAGACAAGTAGAACTTACAAAGGAGTTCTTATCATCAAATTTTGCCATGAAAGACATGGGGGAGGCGGAGGTGATTCTTGGAATTCGAATCAAGCGTGAGAACAAAGGAATATCTTTAACTCAATCACATTACATTGAGAAAGTGCTTAAAAAGTTCAATTATGAAAATTGTTCTCCCGTGAGCACTCCCATGGATGCGAGCGTGAAGCTTATGCCTAATACGGGACAAGCGGTATCACAACTCGAGTATTCACGAGTAATTGGTTGCTTAATGTATGCCATGACTAGCACTAGACCGGATATAGCTTATGCGGTAGGAAAGTTGAGTAGATATACTAGTAATCCTAGTACTCATCATTGGCAAGCTGTAAGGCGGGTGCTCAAGTACTTGAAAGGAACCATAAATTATGGTTTGTCATATTTTGGATTTCCTTCGGTCTTAGAAGGATATTCGGATGCAAGTTGGAACACCAACGAGGAAAATCATTCTTCTACAAGTGGTTGGGTGTTCCTACTTGGGGGAGGTGCCATTTCATGGGCATCAAAGAAACAAACTTGTATTACAAATTCTACTATGGAATCGGAATTTGTAGCGTTAGCGGCTGCAGGGAGAGAGGCGGAATGGTTAAGAAACTTAGTCTCCGAGATTCCATTGTGGCCGAAACCGGTGTCACCCATTTCTATCCATTGCGATAGTAAAGCTACTTTGGCTAAAGCTTATAGCCAAGTGTATAACGGTAAGTCGCGACACCTAGGCTTGAGACATAGCGGGATACGTGAGCTGATCACTCATGGGGTGATTACTATAGGATTTATTCGGTCTGAGCAAAATCTAGCGGATCACTTGACAAAAGGACTAGCTAGAGACTTGGTGATCAAGTCGGCTAAAGGGATGGGATTAAAGTCCATTTGAAATCTCTAATGGTGGGATACCCAATTCCCCTCTAATACAACGTTAGAGGCTGAATTCAATGCGGAAAGCCCACACTTAGAGATTGAAGCACTAGTTTAAATCATCCCAAAGTAAGTGCTTAGATCTGCAAGAAAAGGTTAGGTTGAAGTTTTCTTCTTAATAGATCTTTTGAAAAATTGCATTTTGCAGGTGCAAGATTAAAAGATCTACCTATATGGGTGTGAAGTGTAGCCGCTTCAAGAAGCTCGGACTTGGCTTTGTACACACTCATGAAAGGATAAGGACACATGGCTTATAATAGTGTCAAGGATAAACACTTAGAGTAGTGAGTGAATTCGTGTGTGTATTATCTTCATGTGCTCAAAATGAGTTGAAGGATTCAATCCGTAGGACATCTTGATTCTCGAGCATTTGGAATGTGTAATATTACTAAGATGTAAATTCAATCGTTACGATATTTACATTTATGCATGAGTTTGGTTTATGTGTTGTTAATTTTGTGAATCAAAGATTACACTTAAATGGGGGAGGAATGTTATAAATTTAAGTGTAAACCGACGGTTATTAAATTAACCATTGCAACTATTCAATTTATGGTTATTATTTAAACGTACGGTTGCAAACGTACGTCACAACTTTTGAACCATATATAAACTTTGTTTCTCTTGTGTCAAAGAAAGAGAAGAAGAGGAGAAAAGAGAGATTCACGAGACTAAAGATTGTCTTAATCTTTAGTGCAAAACACAAAACAAAACACAAAAAGCTCTATTTGTTTCTCTTGTGTCTTAGCCTAGAACAAGAGAGAACTTTGATTGTCTTATCCTAGAAGGGATTTCGTGTAACCCAAGGCTTGAGAAGGGTCGAAATACTCTTTAAGGAAAGTGCTCTCGTGCGCGATTCAATCTCTATCCAAGTTCACGTTCGTTACGTCCCGGAGATACAACGTCGTTACACAACATACTTTGCCTCTTGGTTTTCATATAAATTAGTAGCAACAATATCAATTCATAGTTACTCCGGTAAAACTCCAATCCATTTAAGTGGAGGAGGTTAGAAGTTGAGATGATGTTGAATTCCTAGGCATAGATTCTAACTCCTTTTGTGTCTTTTCAAAATTGCAGGTTGCTAAGAGGAAGATCTCCACTGTCTTAGTTTTTTTTCCTTACAAATCTATCATCAAATCAAACAAAATTGTTGAAAATCCAATTTTTCTAATCATGTCCTTGTTAGGCTTATAAGTCTAGGTTTGGCTCGAGTGAAGAGGGTGCATGTTTTGTTCAAAGTAAAACTGAAGGCAATCTTTGCTTCTTAATTCAGCTATCTTAAGCAGTAGCCATTTTTTTGCCAAAGCTAAGATTTGTACTTTCGTATGCTTAGCGGCTTATAAAAGTTTTTATTGTTATTTCTTTTTTAAACTCAACTATAAGTTTCTAGTTTTGATTTTTAGGAGCAAGAGATTTACCTTTTTTACTGTCTCATAAGAGATTTATCCTCACAGAATCTAACGTCTGTTTCCTGCTTGGCATGTGACTCAACTTTTTCGGGAAGATGGTTGCATGTGCATTTTTCATACCTTGGTAGTTCCCCTTGTTGGTCTTATGAGCCTGCCGATTCTCAGCCTTCTTCAGAGCAGCCTTTTTCTTCTTTGCAGCTTTGATGCGGGCTTTGGTGGCAGGAGATTTCTCTCGCTTTGATGCATTCTTCCTTTCCTTCTTTTCCCAAGCAGCTCTAAGCACATCTCCAATGTTGTGTACACCCACCTAGAAAAAAGTATAGATGTGGGTTATTCAACAGTCAAAAGAGCATTTTTAAATAAAAAGAGAGACATCAACTCACTGGGCCTTCCACAGCCTCCTCATGTACAATGTCCTCAACAATTTCCTCTAGTGCATCTCCTGCCTCATCTTCAGAGATTTCTCCAAGCATGTCCTCGTCCTCAGGCACTCCATCTAGAAGGTCTTCTTCGGAGATATTTTCAAGCACATCATCCTCAGATTCAACCTACAAAAGATAATTCAGAATTAGATGGTTTCAATACAAACCGTTCGCAGCCAGCCAATAAAACAAGAACCAAACTAAATGAAAGACAAACAAACATTGGGAGAACTTGTAAGAAACTGGTAGAGATTTGGAATATTAACTCCTTCACCACTTTTGTCAATGCGGTTCATAACTGATTCAATATCTTCCATGGCATTTTTCTTGGCTTCTTCCATGTCCTCATTAGGTCCAATCACATGCAAGGTAGTACCAGCAATAGCGTGTTCAAGGCCCTTTTATAAACACCAAAAATATAGGAAACATTTGTTCAGAATGTCCTCATTTGTGCTAAGTAATTTAGATCAAGCTAAAAATAACAGTAATTGCAATGTCAGAGACAATCACCGGTGCTGCAATTTTGATACCCTGTGCAGCCTTTACTTCCCTGTGTGCCATATAGGTACCCTGAAATATCAGACCAAGCAATTGTCATTGTGTACAAAAAAAGGAAATAATAGTAACAAGAGGCAAGAAATGGACTATCTGAAAGTACCTTCACCCGCGTCTCGTTCATAGGATAAGGAGTCAATAATGATCTAATAGTTGTTACAATTGGTCCCTGGAATAGAAGAAAGCTTTATGATACACTTGGCATATTACATGTTTAGGTATGATCCATGAGTTTTCTACTTACCTGTGACCCACAAACAACGATTTGATCAGCTTCACGGAGTACACCGTTGAGCAAAACAACATCAACAGTAATACCATGGCTTTCAATAACTTTGACCTCAAGGACAGTACACTGTCAACCATTTTAAGAAAAGATAAGAAAGCTGAAGTAGTGTAGAAACGATTCATTACCTAAAAGTGGAATGAGTCAAACCTGCACTTTATCAACATATGTGAGTTTCTCCACCATTGTTTTCTGAGCCCATAGAACCAACAACATCAAAGGATCTGGGATCCCTTCCCCACTGAAATATCAATATCCAAAATTAATCCATTAGTTAGCACGGTTGACCTCTATGCTAGACTACAATTTGAAGATAGCAAAAAAATCTGAGACCTAATAGCGCTAGTAGGTACAATACATATAGTTTCTTCCATTTCTTTGTTCTTGTAATAAAGCATACAATTGATTCCTTGTTCTTGGAACTGGGTTTTAACCTGGAACACCAATGAAACAATATTAGTTAATAAGTTTATAACACGCACATCCTATTCACCCTAAAAGATTAAAAACTTACATGATCTACTCTCATGTTAAATTCATTAACCACATCTCTCGATTGTTGCTTCATTGTCTTCAATAGAGGAGCATTCTTGCTTTTTTTCCCACCCACATATCGTATCCACCTAAAATTTGGAGGTTTTATGCCATACATCAGTGACAATAAAGAATACCAAACACATGCCAACAAAATGACAAGAAGTCTCACCTTATTCAAGGCAACAACGAACTTTACATTCCTTCTTCTCAAAAGATTCAGAGATTCTAAGGTTTGTGGCTCTAGACCACACATTATGTCAACCACTGGAATTGAAAAGTCACACAAATTTGAACCCCTTGACCACAGATTTGTGAATGACTCGTGTCCAGGTGTATCGATAACCAATAGACCTGACAACTTGAGTTTAGCACCAGCACGTAACTCCTTGGTCCTCTCACGGATGTTTTCTGCAGGGAAATATGTTGCACTAATCTGTTGAGTAATAACTCCAGCTTCACCTTCCTGAACATTTGTTCCTCTGATGCAATCCAACAGCTTTGTTTTACCAGAATCAACATGACCCATGATGCAGCAAATGGGAGAGCGAAGATTTTCTTCTACTTCTTTAGCAACTATATTTTCATCCACCTGAGGCATAGCTTTTATGACATCTGTTTTTGGCTTGCCAACAACTCCAGGCTTCACTGTTGGTCTATCTGCACCAGGAACTGTATTGAAACCCAAAAGATTAGATAAAGAAGACAAAATATACAGAAACTACAGGCTAAGGTTCTTCTTCCTCAAGTGTTTCTACTGACCTGAATCATGCGACTTTGATGCATTATCTTCTACTTCTTTAGCAACTTCATTTTCATCCACCCGAGGCATAGCTTTTATGACATTTGTTTTTGGCTTGCCAGCAACTCCAGGCTTCACTGTTGGTCTATCTGCGCCAGGAACTGTATTGAAACCCAAAAGATTAGATAAAGAAGACAAAATATAAAGAAACTACAGGCTAAGGTTCTTCTTCCTCAAGTGTTTCTACTGACCTGAATCATGCGACTTTGATGCATTGTCTTCTACTTCTTTAGCAACTTCATTTTCATCCACCTGAGGCATAGCTTTTATGACATCTATTTTTGGCTTGCCAGCAACTCCAAGCTTCATTGTTGGTCTATCTGCGCCATGAACTGTATTGAAACCCAAAAGATTAGATAAAGAATACAAAATATAAAGAAACTACAGGCTAAAGTTCTACAGCTAAAGAACGAATCTACAGCTAAAGAACTAAAGAACAATATCATCAAGGACAACTTCATATCAAACGATCAATGGCACATGATAAATTCTCAAAATTATAAGTGCAAAGCATATATAACACTACAAGAAAATGATTTTATTATGACGAAATATATAGTCATAATAATAAGTTTTTCGTCACAATAAAAATATTGTTACGAATCAGTAACGATTTGTGAATGGTTGCAATAAAAGTGTCACAAACGTTTTTTTGTAACTAAAACGTCACAGCCATTGTGACGTTTAAAGAGAGTTGCAATTTGGTCACCAAATTTAACGATCCATAAACATATTAAAATTGTCTCAGTTACTTACCAAATTTTGTGTCCCAAAAACGTCATAATGTGCGACTGATACTACGTCTCAGTTTCGTCACTAATTACGACAAAACTATAGTCTCAAAAACGTCGCATTTAGTTACTTATAAAATGTCACTTGTTCGTCACAATTACCAACTAAAAAACTGTCTCAGGACCGTCATATTTTTTCATTTATTATGACAAACTTTTTGGTCTTAAACCGTCACAAATAAAGACTAAAAACTCGTCACCAGTTAGTCACAAATACCAACTACAGATATTTTTGCAAAACCGTCATATTGTGTGACTGTCATAACGTTTTAATTATGTCACTCATTACGACAAAAATATAGTCTCAAACCGTCACATATGATGACCAAAAAATTGTTGCCAATCGGTAGGAAATACCAACTAAATATGGTCTCAAAACCGTTATGTTTTGTTACTGTTATTACGTTCTAAATTTTCACTCATTAAGACGGAATCAAAAGTGTCAAATTTTTCACAATTAATTACAAAAGAAAATGTCTTCTACTATCAGGATTTGGTACTATTTTTTATTTATGACTCGTAAAAATAATTTGGACGAAAAAAAAGAATTGTAAAAATAATTATATTAATTCATAATTAAAGTAAATAAATAGAAATTGAACTAAAATCCAAATCAAATAACGTGATGTGAAATAGAAATAAAAGCCAAAGCCAAAGTATTATGAAGAAACGAAATAAAACCCTATTAAAAAGCATAGCAAATTCAATCAAGGAGCAACTCCAACGGAACTTGTGGAAATGTAGATGTCTTCAATTGTCTGGAGACGTTTCTCGAGGAGTAAATTCTCATCACGACTCTTCCTCAATTCATTTTCAAGTTCTTCAACTCGGTGGGCTAACGTTCCCACTCCTTCTTCCATAGGCTGTGAGGGAACTGATGAACCATCCAAAAGCATAGAAACCCCATTTTGAAGTGATCCAAGTCCAAATACACGACCTTGTTTTGACATTCCAACAATCTATAAAAAATACAAGTACATAAACAATGAGATGTATTTTAACTCAATATAAAATATCTAACTATGCATAATTTAATCTATAAAAGTACCTTAACATAGATTTCATTTTTCTCCTCTAGGCTGAGACTAGCTATTGTCAAAACTTCTCCATTGGAAGACTCCATTTGTGACAAGCGCTCTTGCACATGTTCATCAAATTTTTCTGCAATTAGCCGTGCTTTTTCATCAACATACGTACCGTCAGATTTTTGGTGTATTTTTTTCACCACAACAATGAAGGAAGAGTCTTCATTGTTTGCCTCCTATAAGCAAAGCATTATACAATGTAAGAAATACTGCAAATCTTTTAAAAAACATAAATGTTATCAAAATTTTAAAAAGAAAATATATAAACATTACTATTACCAAATTAATCTTATTCTCATTAATTTGCAAAACTATACAATTGAGGGTTTATATACAACTCAAAACCAAGGCCTAAACCATAGCCTTAACCAATAATTAGAGACTCCTATACAATTAGAGACTCTCTATTCAGACTCATACTTTATACAGACTCATATAACATAATAGTCCCCCTCAAGATGGGACGAATATATTGAGTAAACCCATCTTGCCAATGAGTTGATGAAATGGTGTCGGGTACAGGGGCTTAGTGAATGGATCTGCAAGTTGGAGATGAGTACGAACATGGAATAATTGAAACAAACCTGCGAGTAACCTCTCACGAACACTGTGGCAATCTCTCTCTATGTGCTTTGTGCGCTCGTGAAAGACAGGATTATTTGCAATGTGGATAGCTGCAGTGTTGTCACAGAATAGGAGAGTAGGTTTAGAAAGAGGAACCTTCAATTCCTTGAAGAAATTAGTGATCCAAACCAGCTCATCTGTGGACATGGAAAGACTGCGGTATTCAGCCTCTGCAGAACTTTTGGAGACGACAGGTTGCTTCTTGGACTTCCAAGAGATGAGGGAAGAACCAAGAAATAAGCAAAAACCTGAAGTAGAACGACGTGTGTCTAAACAGGAATCATAATCTGCATCAGCAAACATTTGTAGTTGTAATTCTGACTTAGCTGAGTAGAAAAGACCCTGGCCAATAGTTCCTTTGATGTAATGAAGAATCTTGTAAACTGCATGTTGATGAGCCTTGCGAGGAGCCTGAGAATACTGACTCAGCTTGTTCACAGCGAAGGTGATGTCAGGTCTCGTGATTTGCAAGTACATGAGCTTACCAATAAGGCGCCTGTAGGATTCTGCATCTACAAGATCTCCACCTCTGTCTTTGTAAAACTTGACGTGAGGATCCATTGGAATGCTAGAAGGTTTGCAGCCAAGTAGCCCTGCAGAATCAAGGAGATCAAGGGCATATTTACGCTGACAAATATGAATACCTTCTGCGGTTCTAGCAATCTCCAAGCCAAGGAAGTATTTCAAAGCACCAAGGTCACGGAGCTTGAAAAAGGACTTGAGCTGAGACTTCAGGATATCAACCTCTGAATCATTGTTACTAGAGATAATGATATCATCCACATATACCAATACACACAAGAACAAAGTATCAGTAATTTTCAAAAAACAAGTGTGATCAGAGTATGATTGAGTAAACCCCAGTGTAGTCAAAGTCTGAGAAAACTTTAAGAACCACTGTCGTGAAGCTTGCTTAAGGCCATATAAAGATTTGTTTAGTTTGCACACAGCATTAGGAGGCAAGGAGGCCCCCTGTTTGGCAGCATACCCAGGAGGAAGCCTCATGTAAATCTCCTCATCTAGATCCCCATTGAGGAAAGCATTGGAGATGTCTAGTTGAGTAAGAGAAAAATTATGTATAGCAGAAATAGCAAGAATCAGTTTTACTGAAGTCAGCTTTACCACTGGGGAATAAGTCTCATTGTAATCAATTCCTTCCTGTTGAGTATACCCTTTGGCAACCAAACGAGCCTTGTATCTCTCAATAGTACCATCAGAATTGAATTTCACTTTGAAAATCCATTTGCAGCCTATAGGAGTCTTATCCGGAGGCAAGGTGCAAATAGTCCATGTATCAGTTCCCTCCAAAGCATCCACTTCTTCATCCATGGCTCCACACCAAACCAGAAGTTCTTTTGCCTCAGCATAGGTTGAGGGTTCTTTTTCTTTGTCAATGGAAACCAGAAAAGAGAGATAAAGTGGATTGACTTTATCATAAGAGAGAAATTTGGATATTTCATGAGCGGTTGAAGACCCTACTGAATGACAGTAGTAGTCTTGAAGATAAGCAGGCTTTTTGGATCTCCTGTGTGATGTTTGAGCAGAAGGCTCAGGGACATTTTTAACAGATTCAACAGAAGGTTGAATTGCTGCAGAAGATGAAGGTACAGAAGGACTTTCATCAGATATATGAGGCGACACAGGAGATGATTGAGACTGATCATGGAAAAAGGATGTTGTATCCATAGAAAGATCAGAACCAATAAACGGAAAGAGCTCTTCATGAAACACTACATGTCTAGATACAATAATAGCGTTAGATTCAATATCAAGAAGCTTGTAACCCTTGTATCCAGTTGGATAACCTAGGAAAGCACAAGCACGAGCTCTAGGATCAAATTTGTGTCTGTTCTTGGGTGAAGTGGAAGCATAACAAAGACAGCCAAAAACTTTTAATTGAGAATAGTCAGGAAGTTTCTTTGTCATAGCTTCAAAAGGACTTTTATTGTTTAAGATAGGAGCAGGTAAACGATTTATTAGATGAACTGCAGTAAGAATACAGTCACCCCAATAAGGAAGAGGAATATTAGATTGAAAAAGAAGAGATCTAGCAACATTGAGGATGTGCTGATGTTTTCGTTCAACAACAGAGTTTTGTTGTGGGGTTTCAGGACAAGAATGATAAGATAGAATGCCTTTAGATTGATAAAAGGCTAGAAAATTGAGTTCCGGAGCATTGTCAGACCTAACCCCCTTAACTTTACTCTGAAACTGAGTTTCTACCATAATGAGAAAGGTTGGGAAAACTTGAAGAACATCAGACTTATTCTTAAGAAGATATACCCAAGTAGCCCTAGAATAATCATCCACTATAGTTAGAAAATATCGAAAACCATCATGAGTAGGGACAGAAAATGGACCCCAAGTGTCAATGTGAACTAGATCAAAAGGATTATCACTGAGTTTATTTTGAGAAACAAAAGGTAAATGTTTTTGTTTTGAAAGATGACAAACTTTACAGTGATGTTCTGTATCAGTTTTGATTTTATTGAAAGACAAAAGAGATTGCATGGACTGAAGTCTAGACATAGAGAGATGATCTAGACGTTTATGCCACATGTCGGGGCTGGAAACAGAAGCAGCAACAATAGGAAGAGAAGTACCTGGACTTGAAACTGACTCGATGTCCAGAAAATATAGATTAGCCACTTGCCTACCCTTCCCAATCATTAAGTCCCGAGTAGGATCCTGTATACCACAATAGAGTCTATCAAACCAAACTCTACAGTTTAGACTATTGGTTAAAGTACTGACACTGAGGAGGTTAAATTTGAATTGAGGGATGTACAAGACATCATGAAGGATCAAA